AAAACATATTTCAGATACAACTCCGTCATGTTGCTCTGTGTCAAAGGGAGGTAGCAGTAACAGTTGTTGCCCATCATGTGACACACCGACCTGACTGTGTGTTCAGACAGCCAGCCGGCGTCACACTGGTGGAATCCATCATCGTAGGCTGCTTGAAGCTGCTCAGGTGAAGCCATGACCGCATTGTTCTGTGCACATGCTGCTGTCGCCTTCTCAAAAGTCAAACTGTAGCGTCCCATGATGGCCCGGTAGTGGAACACAATACCTAGAGACAAACAAGAACTTTAATGAGAATTAATTTATTAAAAGTGAGCAATGAATAATTTGATGAATGGAAAATGTTTGGACTTTGGACCAACTAGAGGAAAACAGTATGAAATATTACAAAACAAATGAATAACTTATATCCTTGATATTTAGATGTTCATACCTTGAACCTGCACGTGGACGGTGTCATGGCTGTCCTCGATGCCGTGCTGAACCTCACAGCGGAAGGCCCCCGAGTCACTGGACCTCAGCTCAGATATCTTGATACTGGCGTCTGTAGAGGTCATGGGGTATCCCACCAGGTGAACTCTGTCCAGGTAGCTCTCGCTGATGCGCACCTCTCCTTCCAAGGCCACCAGGATAGTCGTGACTTTTTCTTTGGTGACGAGGCTCCATTTGATGCGATGAGCGAGGGGAGCTATGGTGGGGGCTCCGGGGTCTGGGACAGTGTGGTCCTACACAGGAAACAACAAACACCTCTCACCACCAGTTCGTTTCCTGGGTTTCCTCAGTGTAAACAATCTGAAGCTAATGAAAGGAAGTATTACAACTCCTACAGGAACTCACACTATTAAAACCTTTGTACCACACAAATTAATCCCTGTTAACAAATCCAGCAGACACAGAGCAACATTAGAGCTTATTTGGAGTTGTGTTTTTGTCCACCTGATTAATTAACTCCTGAGGGAAATATCTGTCTCTTTAGCCGCTGGATGTTTAACTGTCTTCACCAGCTACGTCTTCACTCTGTCTTTTTCTGATCAAACAGAGGTTAAAGCTCATGATTACTCACCTCAAAGTAACATGGCAGTACGATAGTTGCTCCCAGTAGAGGTCGCTGTGGTTCCTCCAGAGGAATGCTCACACTCAGCACATCCTCCGGGTCTGAGGAAGATGTCAGCTGATGAGTACTCTCCAGAGACAGCAGTGATGTACAGCACGTCCAGGAGAGGATAACACACACTAAGCTCTAATGATTTTATCATCACTGATTCGACCATCTAATAAATAAACAAGTGTCCTTCCTTACCCATAAAGGAGTGCTCCTCATAGATGTAATCAAACGTCGCAGAGATGACATGTAGACACACAGACAGCAACACGATCCACCTCATCATATTTCACCTGAAATTTAAACAGGGAAAATTAGTAAAGCACAACCGTCAATCTCTCTTAGGTGGAATTGGGGAGGATGGATGAGGGAGTAGGGTGTGTCAGTGGGACGTGCCTGGGTTAGAAAAGGCCAAGCTAGAAGTGTGTAGGTCTCTTCGTCTTTCACCTCTTGTCTGTGTGTCTTGTTTGATTCGAAGTGTTATATTCATAAGATAGATTAAAAAAAGACCTTATGAAAATAACCTGTCAGGTGTGTGTTATCATCACATCACCTCATACTGATGATGGGATATTAATGTTGTTCTTGTTTTAATCACTGCTACACATAAAATCCATTTAATGCTATTTCTGTTTTGAATTATTTAGTAAAAATATAAATAAAAGTATTTTCTCATTCAGGTGCAGTAGTTAATAAAAAATAAAAAATAGTGGTATTAAATAAAGAACATAACAAACATACAGCGAGTAACAGAAGGCTCGGCTTGGACGGAGCACCTGTCGCAGCAAACGAACACACCGTCTGCGGTCATTTTGACTTGACTCACGGACTTTACTAGAAAACCAAACATTAGTTGGCTAGAATTCATTGGTCACTTAGCCACAGAAAAAAAAGTGAAACTCTGTGAGGAGGAGCTGCACCTTGTCAAAATAAATCCAAACCTATATGACTGGATCATGTGTGACTTTACTTTGAAAGGACAGACACAGGAAGTGTCCACGCTCAGCAGTCAGACAGGAGTCAGGTTAATGTCCAGGGCTGGTACCTGCGGTTATTCCACAGGCTAGTTAATAACATGTCGGGCAGGAAATCCAAAGTGTGGGATCATTTTGAGAAGGTGAAGGACGAACCCAAGGTGATATGTAAACTCATCTTCATTGGGAAACAGGTGATGTGCTTTAAAACCAGCCACCGGCGATTTGACCAGCTGAGTTGCAGGTGACACCATCAGCCGGTTTGAGCCGTGCTCAGACCAGCCAATTCACACCGCTGCTACTTTTCTCTGCAACGTTCTGAAATGCAGGGTTCCTACGCAAGTATGGAAAGTATGGAAATAAACTTGATAAATTTCCAGGTATTAAAAAGTATGGAAAATGAAAAATAAAGTATGGAAAAATATTTATGTTTCCAGACTATTACCACTGTTCTAAAATACTGTTTTCGGATCGTGTTTTATGCCGGGCCAAGCACAGTTTGTGTGAGAGCAAACGTCTCAGAAAACATACCGCCCCTTTTACCTGATTGACAAGTGGTCTGTCCAGTCCGCTGCCCCATGACCCTCCTCCAGACCCCCAGGTGTCAAGTTTCACTCCAACACTGCACCTTCGACAAGAAGACGAGTTTCACGTGGTTCACAATGGGTAGATGTAAATTTTTGGATGGATGGCTTGACGATGCCGTATAAATACTGGTTGGCCAAGGATTCCCAATTCACACACAGAGCTAGATGCAAGCTTTGTGTGAAATCGTTTGACATCGCCAACATGGGGGAGAAGGCGATTCTGAGCCACATGAAAGGAAAAAACACCCAACGTCTCGTTACTGCATCGCTTGCACCCAGAGTCCCAACCTTTTTGCCTCAGCCCAGACATTGAACTTACCTGAGTTT